CTGCCCCCTGCCCCCCAGCCAGTGAGCCCACGCAGAAGGAAAGCATTCCCCCGACCAGCTCCTGGCTGGTCCCCTTGACGGCGTTGCCCTTCCTTCTCCCCACCACCTGTTTCCTTTCTTTTTGTTATCAAGGGCATGGCGCTGCCCGGGGGCTACCAGCGTGAAGGAAGAGTCGGCAGCTTGGAAAACAGGTTTGGAGCCTCTGTGCCTGCCCATTGCTCAGTGACCACCTCTTGTTAGCAAAGGACCCTGTCACGGGAGGAGAGGGATAGGTTTTCTTTAGGGCCCCAGGGAACTGGGGTGCACACACACACACATACACACACACACACACACACACAGGGGGCGGGGATGTCCACCCAGTGCTCTCCCCTTTGACCCTCAGACGAGGTGAGACTGGCTCTGGGAGGGTCAGTCATCAGCAGGGTCACCAGACACACTCTCAGGCCCTGAATCCAACTGCTGGGGGGCTGGGCCAGACGGTGTGGTCACCCCCTGCCCCCTGGTCCTGGAGGATATTGACAGCAAGGCTCTAGGCAGCAAGGGTCCCTGAACAGACCTTTGGGGGCACCAGGGGAGGGGGTCCTGCCAGGCTGCAACTCTGACGGAAGCCCTCGGGGCCCTGCCCCCTGGTCTCCAGGGAGTAGCTCGGGGCACCTGGGAGGGCAGTGAAGCCACAGCCCTTTCCCAGCAGAGGAAGTGCCTTCAGGTGGGCAACCGCTCGAGTACCCAAGGGCCCCCAGAGCCACACGACAGAGATGGACCTTTTCTATGAATGACCTGGCCCGCATGGGACCTCCCTAAGGTCACGGGGCCCTTAGCAGCCAAGAAGATGCTACAATTGGTGTCTTGTGACCCGCTCACCCCAGGATGAGGCGCCTCCTGACTCCTGACACTCCACCAGGGACGCAGGGTACAGCGATGTAGCAGCTGAGCAAGGGCAGGTCCGATGACTCACCGGCCTGGACAAAGGAAGCCGCATCCATCTCCACTCAAGGCCCCCAGTCTGGGTCCCCCCACTCTGTCTCTGCCAAGGTGCGCTCCCTGGGCCTCCCCTCCCCGCACGGAGCACACGGGTGTGACCTGGGCATCCCTTGTGTGAACCAGCTGAGCCTGCCTCCTGGTTCATGAAATGGGCGATTGTAAGGATGCAGGGATGAGACTGGGTGGAAAAATACTACAGCCCCTAGCAAGTTCTTTCTGCTCCACGGGAGTGGGGTTGGGGCGGGGTGTAGAGTGCTGAGTGTGTGTCTCACAGGGAACATCCCCCCCAGACTTGGGCTCCCTCACTCACCCTCACTCTGAGCCCCAGCCTCTCTTTCTTTGGGTTCCTTGAACCCACCACGGCCACTGCTGCATCGGGGCTTTTGCACTGGCAGACCCCTCAGACTG